TGAGGCACAGGTTGGTTAAGTAAGTTACTCAAGTTCTCATTGCTAATAAGTGGTGGTACAGAACTTGAACACAGGCAGCCTGATTTCACAGTCTACATTCTTTTACACTAAGCTATACTATTAATTTTATAAGAAAAGAAAAAAATTAAGACTATTGAAGTTTCTTACCCTAGAGATAACGAGTACTGAAATGGAATGGAGAACTTGGGATAAAGAAAATAAGTATCACTATATTAAGTTTCTTCCATCTTAGCTAGATATTCTCCAGTGAAGTACAGGATTTTCTGTTTGTTTTTTGTGGGGTTATTACTAATATGAATATTTTAAAATGTGTTCTAATGTTATATTCAATTTTTTATTACTTTATTTTGTCTTTTGACCCTATTGGAGATTGTTTTCTCATATTTATTAGGAATTTTGGCCATAAACTCATCAATCCATTTATAATTATTAGTATATTTTTAGCTGCTTTGGAAAATATTTACTGATCTTTAAATAGACACTTAAATGTACACTAGCTCAAGGGATGGTTTAAAATCTCATGGATTTAAAAATAAACAAACAACAACAACCAAAAAAAGAAAACCTCCTTCTTCCAAATGAAAGAATATTTTTTAGATCTAATTATGTCTTGCAAATTTTAATTTTATACCACGAACATTTATTCGGTACTCAGTGGTAGTAATGACTACATTTATTGACCCTGCCTGACTGTGTAGCTCTGTGCTAGAGACTAAAAAAAGGAAAAGAAAAGTTGTCTTTCAGTCTTCCCAGTATGGTTACGAAGAAGAAAGTCATATATATATGGGTTAATTTAACTTAGTAAATGCTGTTATAGAATTTCGAATGATATATTGGGAGAGCACAAAGTAGTAATTATTTAATACCACCTGGAGGAATTAGAAAACATTTAGAGCAAGTTCATTCTTTACTGGGACTCTTAAATAAGGTAGAGAAGGGAAATGGTGTTGAGTCCCCAAAAACATAATCTGTTTGGAGGCAGTGATTAGGTATGTGTGGCTGGCAAGTGTTTGTAGGGGAGCTGGAGTGGGGAGGTGGGGATTGTGAAGTATTAGAAAATGAAGCTCAATTGGTGAAGAACTTTGCAAAACTTAATGAGTGTAAGTTTCATTTAATATGCAGTGAGGAACCCACAGACCTATGTCAATAGGAGAATGACATAAATATATTTGACTTTAAGATAATTCTGCCAGTAGGGTAGAGGCTGGCTCTGGTGGAGTCACTCCAGCAGGAGATCCTTGCAGCAGTCTAGCCAAAAGGTATGATCTGTGACAGTGGGATGGAGAGGAGGGATCTAATTCAGTTGGTACTTCTGAAAGGGACTGAACAGTTTCAGAAACTGTTTAGATGTATGGGTTAAGGAAAGGATATTTTTTGTTGTTACTGTATTCCCTGGATTTATTCTTCTTTTTAAGTTAGTTGTACATTAATTTCTATTGATGGTAGAATTGGGCAATTGAAGGCTACTGTTCTGAACTTTGTGTAGGAGTACTGTGTATTTGCTAACATTTCAGAGATGATAAAATGTGAGATATATGCATCTTATGTCATAAGCCTTAATGTGCTTTGATATTTTGTTTTGTTTTTTATTTAAAAAGGTTGGTCTCAATCTACTAAATGGGTGATAGCCTGCATTTTGAAAATCACTGCCATTTGTATTTGTGATTTGTAGTATGTATTCAGCTTTTTATGTAAAAGTGTAAATCTGCTTTGTCAGTGGTCTTTTTAAAATTTTCTTTTGGCTTAGAGTTGTCATTAAAAAATAAGATTAATAGTTATTCTAAATGTAGTTACAGGCATATTAACATACTATAAAAGACTTGATATTGTATGCATTTTTGCTCCCAATTTAAAAAAACTTCAGAAAGAAAATAAAATATAATAGATTACTTCTTTTTTTTGGTGTAATCTTCCTATATTTTAAGTGTGACTTTTAAAAATAAGTTATCCCCGGGCATTCAGTAGTCTGTGTAAAAGAATTGAAATTTATATTACAAAATGTAATGTACTGCCTTCCAAAGAGAAGTTTGACTGTATGCTGTCTTGGGATCTTTGCTGTTCTTACAGAAATGCTCTTTTTTTCTAGAGAAAACTGATTTTACACAATTTTTCAATTGCTTTAATATGATAGGACCTATAAGACTTTCTTGTCAGAGTTCACTTAACTTTTTGTTAAATGCATAGCACATATCTAGAAATTAAGTAGCTCCCATTTCAGTGGCATAGTCATAAGTATTATGTGAGAAAGTTTTCCTTATTATATCACCTAGTGAGCATATTTTACAGCTAGTTCTTACTATGTGATTCTGGATTGACTTGAATAGAGACAAGACATATTATTCTTAGACTGAATGCATTTAATCTAAAATAAAGATTAGAATGTTATTTTATTCATGACATCTGTTAATTATCATCAGTGTTCTAAGTACATAAAATATATTGGATTTTTTTTTTTTTTTTTAAAAGAAGCATATTTAAAGGTTAAGACAAATCTGAGTTCAGGCTGGGGGATACCAACTTCTATAGATAATTCTATTATTTTATTACGTTATTGTCATTTTGGGAAACCTGAATGAATTGCTTTGCTTTCTTTAAAGGAAAAGTTTGGCAAAAATAAGATCATTGTGATACCCTCATAAACAAATTAAAATACCTTATTAATTTAAAAGAATATTATGTTTTGAATAGGACATCTGTTTTCCTCATTGATTGATCCAATGATTTGTCTGATGTGGTTGGACTTGATATATGCTTCCTTTCTCTAGAGTTCTACTGATGAGAGGGTACCTTCCTAGGAAAAAGACCGTACTGGTCTTTTGTCAAAGTATCTGAGTTACTATGCTTCCCTGGTAGAATCTCCTACAACTTTAACAAGCTTAATTTTTTTTCCTTCTTCTAATGGACTAATTGTGATATTGAAACAGATGTATGGCTATCAACCAAAACAAAGAACCAATCTGTTCTAACTTCTTTATTTTGAATTTGAAGAAATCAGTGTTCTTTTATGTTGATATATCTAATTCACTTTATATACATTAATATGCCATTTTGTATATTTGAACATTTAAAAAAGTTAAGGTAGTTTGATTTATATGTTAGAAGGTATTCACTATGTTCCAAACCAGGCCAAATAAAGTCCTGTACCCATTCCAGGTAAAATATCTCCAAAGACTTTTATTAATTGTTACTTAGACCAAGTATAAAATAAAAGGTGCTTAAGTGATAAGTAAATTATTTGGTTTATTAGTGGTAGGGGTTAAGTATTTAAAAAAAATGTTTTTCCTCCCTGATTATCAAAGTAAACTGTAATAGATACCAGAAAGATAAAAGCATCAAAGTCAAAGAAATTACCAGTAGTCCTACCTTCTAGAGAAAACTACTAGTTGTATTTTGTTATATTTCTTTCTGGTACTCTGTGCGTTTATTGTCTATTCGAATCTTTGGTCTGTGCTGGCTGCAACACTGAATCAGATCTGCAGCACATGGTCTTTGAGTATTACTACAGTCTAAAAGGAGAACAGATAGCTTTTAAGGCTACTTATATACTTCATATATCTGTAAAACCCAAATAAATTTAATTTATAACCTACATATAAAGAACTCAAAATAATATTAATGTAGCATAATATTTTATTTTAGCTAAATCTTTAATGTTGGGAATAGTATGGTAGAAAGTAGCTTTAGTTCTGTCTTTTGATTTTATATTGATATTAAAAGAGTGGTAAATGATGTAATTAATTTTATGGGCATGTTTGTCGTTTGTGATCCTTACGTTTAAACTACTAGAAGCCACTACTTGTCTGCCAATTTCAATTGTGTATCATGTGATAATTCTGTAAAGATATCTCGTTTCACATCATGATGATAATACCAAGTATGTTATTTGCCTGCCCTTTACTTATATGTAACTGCAATTGCAAACATAAAACACAAACGGGGGCACTGAACTTATGTCATAATAAATCTATTTTAAGGTAGCTATACAAATATAGTGGCATTGAAATTAGGTGAAAATAATATGCTTTAGGGTAGCTCATCAGATCATCTATAATGTGCTTTTAATTTTTTAAGAGTATCATAATGGAAGCCCAAAATTCTTATACAGAACTTTTAAACTCCCACAAATAAGCCTACAGGCTCCAATTTGAGAATCACTCTGTTACCCCTTAATAAATATACATGCTCCTGTAGTTTTTATATAAAATTCAGCAGATTTAAAATTACTCTTTCAAGTTGCTATAAAAATTTCTAAATTCTTATTTATTTCTGCACTCAACTTTCATAACTAGTAATAAATAGTTCACAGACTGGCACTGGTCCATGGATATTCTTAAATAGGCACTGTAATAGACAATTAAAAAAATGATGGATAAATCAGAAAAAGGCAAATAACAATTAAGTAAAATGGACACTGAAAATAAAGTTCAAGAGAATATTGGAGTGAAAATTAGCTAAAAACTAATGATTTAATCTAACTCAAAAAGGAAATTTGAGCAAAGAGCCATTAGGGTGCTGTGATGTTAAACATTTATCAAAAGATAACTAAAGAAATAAAATCAATTAAAATAATGCAAAATTATTTTAAATTTTAAGTGATTAGGATATTGTAGAGAAAAATAGATTTTTTGACCTTCCATGAGCATAATCTTATATTGCCATGCCATATGGTTCAGTTAGACTTTATCTGATCCCCAGTTCTCAGCTGATGCCTGTGTATGGAATCACAGATGCCTACCTGTCAAATATGCAGAGGCAGAATGTTGACATTTCTAGATAGATAGATGTTATATTTGACATTTTAAATAAGAGCAGTATGTGTTTGAAAGTTCAAATATCTATATGCAGATGTCAGAGTCCTTCAGCCAGAAGAAGCTGCTAAATCAGCATTGAATTTGTGTGTGTGATATGTAAGTTTACTTGTTGAATCTTACATATCATTGATCTATTTTAATTATTTTGGGCAGAATATAACTTGATATGCATGTTTTTATAAGGTTGAAAAAAGATATTTTCTATCTACTTACAGAAATTATAAATGTGTTAATTTTTGCACATTTTTCTTTGTAGGCCCAGATTATTCTTCATCAGCATGGTTACCTGGTAGTGAATCATTGTGGCAGGCCACAACCGTTCCATCCAACCATCGAAATAACCACATCAGGAGACATAGTATAGCTTCTGACAGTGGTGACACTGGCATTGGAACTTCCTGTTCTGACAGCGTGGAAGGTGAGCTAAAATTCTTAGTGTTTAGACATGACTGTTCTGAAAGTGGTTGAACTGAGAACATTCAAAGGATATGTTTTATTGTTTCAGACCAAGAAATTTGAAAGTAGTGTTTGAATATGTAATGATGTTCAGTGTTGTTATTACTTTTTTAATCCTCATCTGAGGATATTTTTCCATTGCTTTTTCAGAGAGAGTGGAAGGGGAAGAGAGAGAAAGAGAAAGAGAGTAACATCGATGTGAGATAGACACATCTATTGGTTGCCCCCCGCCAGGCCCAGACTAGGGTCAGGGATCAAGCCTGCACCCAGGGTATGTGCCCTTCAGTACTCTGGCCGACGCTCTAACCACTGAGCAAAACCTACTAGGGCAGTGTTATTTTTAATAAATTGTAGATTCACATGCAATTTTAAGAAATAATACAGAGATACCCCCGTCCAAGGCTGTATCTTACAAAACTACAGTACAGCATCACAGCCTGGATATTGACATTGTTATAGTCAGAATACAAAACATTTCTAACACTAGAGAATACTTAATGTTGCTCAACCCACTTTCCCCATCTCCTTAACTCCTAGAAACCACAAATCTTCATTTCTATAATTTTGTCATTTCTAGAATGCTTGGTAAATGCAATCATACAGTACATAGTCCTTTGGAATTGGGTTTTTTCACTGGAGATTCATCCAGGTTGTTGGATATATCAATACACAGTCCCTTCCCTTTATTGCTGAGTAGTGTGTAGACAGCAATGGTGGTATTGAATAGACAACATTTTTCTTAACCTTTCACTCTTGAATGACATATGGATTGTTTCTATTTTTTTACTATTAGGGATAAAATTGCTACAAGCATTTATAAATAGGTTTTCATGTGAACTTACGTCTTAATTTCTCTGTGGTAAATGTCTATGCAATTGCTGGTCATATGGCAGTTGCATGTTTACTTTTTAAAGAAACTGTCACACTATTTTCCAGAGTGACTTTTCCATTTACATCAGTAATGGAAACAGATCAGTATGAGTAATCCAGTTTTCTCTTTGCTAGCATTTGCTGATTTTCAAATTTTAGCCCATCTGATAGGAACGAAGTGGTATCTTATTGCGGTTTTAATTTTCAGTTCTTGAAAGATTAATAGTGTTGAATATTTTTTCACATGGTTATTTGCCATCTGTGTATTTTCTTTGGTGAAATGTCTCTTCATGTCTTGCTCATGTTCTAATTGGGTTATTTCCTTTTTTTACTGTTGAATTTTGAGAATTCTTTATATATTTTAGATACTAATCCTTTGTTGGCTATGTGGTTTGCAAATATTTTCTTCTACTCTGTAGCTTGTCTTTTCATCCTTTGACAGTGTCTTTTTCAGAGCAAAAGTTTTAAATTGACGAAGTGTGTGTATTTAGGTGTCCCCAAGACCACTTTTAGGCTCAGTGATTAGCTAGAAGGAATCACAGAACTCAGAAAGCTCTTATACTAATGATTATGGTTTGTTTCATTTCAATCTGCAATGAAAGTAGGAGCAAAGGGCCGGGTCCAGGAGACCCCAGGCCTAAACATTCAGTTTGGCCTCTCCCAGTGGAGTTGCATGGACGGTGTTTTATTTTCCCAGCAATGATGTGTGACAGCACGTATGGAGTATTGCTAACTAGGCAAGGTCACCTGAGCCTCGGTGTCCAGGATTTTTATTGTGGGCTGGTTATGTTGGCATGGTTGATTGCCTGTATGGATGACCTTAATCTCCAGCCTTTGAGAGGTCAGGGTGATAATCACATGGTTCAAGGCTCCCACCATAAACATATTATTAGCATAGACTATATGGAGTGACCCAAGGTAAACAGAGACACTTATTAGATAGGGTAGACCAGGGGTTTAGAGGTTATCTACTGGGAACTGAAAAAGGGACACATCTTCCTTGGAATGTGCCAGATATAGAAAACCCAGATATGCTGTTAGTCTTTTTTCACAGTGTGAGAGTTAGATTGAGGTTAATTTCCTTTGCCTAGTCTTAAAATTGGTTAGAATAATTATTCCCATCTTATTCTTATTTTTCAAAATTGTTTTAGCTATTCTGGTTTCTTTGTTTTCTGTATGTGTTTTAGAATAATTTTTTCTGTTTCTACAAAATACCTTGCTGAGAATTTAATAAGAATTATGTCGATTATACCTATGTTTGGGGAGAACTGGCATCCTTATTCTCTTGAGTTTTTCATTCATTAACGATATGTTTTTCCATTTATGTAGATTTTAATTTAATTCATCAGTGTTATATAGATTTCAGCATGTATGTTCTGTACATATTTTGTCAATGGCATTGTATTTCCAATTTTGATGCCAGTGTGTTAATTGTAATTGCATACAAATACAATTGATTATTGTATATTTATCTTGTATTTTGTGACATTGCTGAGCTCACTTTTTCATTCTAGGAGTTTTTTTGGGAGATTTCTTGGGATTTTCTCTGTAGACAGTTATGTCGTCTATAAATAGGGTTTTTTTCCTGTCTAATCTGTATGCCTTTTATTTCTTTTACTTATTGCAGTGGGTAAAACATCTTACACAGTGCTGAATATGAGTAGTAGGGGTGGACATCTTTGCCTTTTTCCCTATCTTACAGATAAAACATTCATTCTTCTGTTAAGTAGCTATATAACAGCTATTAGCTGTAGGTATTTTGTAGATGCCATTAATCAATTTGAGGAAGTTCCCCTCTAGTCCTGTTTTGCTGAGAATTTTTTAAATAATGAATTTATGTTGGATTTTGCAAATGCTTTTTCTGTATCAATTGATATATTATATTCTTTGGCTTGTTCATGTGGTAGTAAATTTCATTGTTTGATTTTTCAAATATTGAGCCAGCTTTCAACTCCACTTGGTCATGGTGTATAATTCTTTTTACTTATTGCTGAATTCTGTGTGTTTATATTTTGTTAAGGATTTTTGTGTGTGTGTGTGTGTCCATAAGGTATTTGGTCTGTAGTTTTCTTTTGGGGGGTACTGTCTTATCTTGTTTTGATACCAGGATAATACTAGTTTTGTAAAATGAATTGGAAAGTGTTCCTTCCTGTTTTCTGGAAAGAGATTATATAGAATGGTGTTAATTTTTCTTCAGTGTTTGATAGAATTCTTCAGTAAAACCTTCTAGGCCTAGAGATTTCTTTTTTCATAGTTTTAAAATAATCAATTCAATTTCCTTAATAGTTATAGGACTATTCAGATAATCTCTTTAAAGTTGAATGAGTTGTAGTTTTATGGGGGATGGGGCAAATTGTTCACTTTGTCTAAGTTGTCAGATTTATGTGTGTAGAGTTGTTCATAGCATTACCTTATATTCCCATGATAGCTGCAACCTCTGAAGTGAAATGCCCTGTTTCATTTCTGGTATTGGTAATTTGTATCTTTCCTTTTTTGTTTTTTGATCTTAGTAGCAGTTTGTCAATTTCATTAATTTTTGCCAAGAATCAGCTCTTTGTTTTATTAATTTTCTCTTTTGTTTTCTGATTTTTGTTTTCAGTGATTTCTGCTGTTTATTATATCCTTTCTACTTTAGGTTTATTTTGCTTTTTCTAAGTTTTTAAGGTAGGAGATTAGGTTATTGATTTGAAATGAAAATTTTCTTTAATATGTATGATTCAGTGCTGTAAGTTTCTTAGCACTGCTTTTGCTGTGTCCCACAAATTTTGATATTTTGTGTTTTTATTTTCATTCAGTTCATTGTATTTTCTTAATTTACCTTGAGACTTCTTCTTTGATCTCAGGGTTATTTAGGTAGTACCTAGAGTGTTTGGAGATTTTCCTGTTGTCTTTGTTATTTCTAGTTTGAATTCACTGTTGTCAGAAACACACTCTGATTTCAATTCTTTAAAATTTGTTGAGGTTTGATTTTGGTCTCAGCATATGGTCTATTTGCTATATAATCTATGGGAACTTGAAAAGAATGTGTATTTTTCTGTTGGATCTAGTGTTCTATAAATGTCAATTAGATCCTGTTTGTTGATGGTGTTGTTAAGTTTTTCTGTATTCTTGATAATTTTCTATCTAGTTGTTCCATCAATTGTTGAGAGAGTTGTTTATAAAAGTCCCACCTATAATTGGGGATTTGTTTATTTCTGTTTTAGTTCTATAAAGTTTTGATTCACAAATTGTAGCTCTTTGTTTGATGTGTACACATTTAGGATTGCTATATATTGGTTGATTAGCACTTGTTTTAGTATATAATGTCCCTTTCCTGTCTCTGGTAATTTTCTTTGTACTGAGGACCACTATTTATATGGCTACATCTGTTTCCTTTTGATTAATATTTAAATGGTATATGTTTTCTATTCTTTTCCTTTCAGCTTGTCTGTGCGATTGTATTTGAAGCAAGTTACTTGAAACAGCATACACTTGGATTGTGGTTTTTAATCTGCTCTGCCAGTCTCTATTTTTTATTGGTATATTTTAGACCATTTACATTTAATGTAATTACTGATGTATTAATGCTTAAATTTTCTGTTTGTGTTTATTTGTTTCTATTTTTTATTTTTCTGCTTTCCTGTGGGTTACTTAAACCTTTTTACAATTCTACTTAGATTTATCTGTAGTATTTTTAAGTGTATCGCTGTATAGTGTTTCTATTGGTTGTTCTAGGTATCACATATATTACTTTATATTATATATAATATATATAACTTAGATACACATAACTTATCATTTTAACAGTTTGAGTGGAGTATAGGAACCTTACCTCCCTTTACGTTTCTTTACCCTCCTCCATTTATGGCAAAATTGTTCCACATATTTCTGTACATATATTTATAACCATGTCACACAGTGTTTTAATTTTTACTTCAACTGTCAAGCAATTTAAGAAACTCAAGAGGGGACAGCTTATTATGAGTATTTACTCATATTTTTACTTACTGACTTCTTTCTTCATGATGTTTCAAGTTTCCTTTAATTATTTCCTTTTGGTTTAGAGAACTACGTTAGCCTTTTTTTTTTTTTAGGATACATCTGCTAGTGACA